AGCCGTCGCGGATACACGGTGGAGCTTCGGGGTTCTGGCTTCTTTTCTTGAGGAGCCCAGAGAGGCCTGAAGAGGGAGCATCACAGCCGCAGCGCCTCGGGCTGCCTCTACAGCAGGGCTCGTTTCTCCAGGCAGGGTGGGGCGCGGCTCCTGCTGGTCACTAACATCCACTTTTGCTTTCCATGGATTTTGCTCATATGTATACTGAGACTGTCAGGTGGTATTCTGGGGAGCTAGATGTGGTTTGAGGAAAGGAGAGACGGCGCAAGCCTACCTCCTCCTAGAGCGAGACTCACCGTCCTCCCTTTGGCTCGTGTTAAGCAGCGTGAGAAAATGGGCAGCTCTGATCTCATCAAATAATCTCTCTCCAGGCATTTGGAGACTGAGCCACTGGGGTCCTCTGCCGCCCCCACCCTCAGTCCCCCCCATTCCCAGGCTATCACCCCAGTACCAGCTCCTCTCAACTCGAAAGCACTGGTGCAATACGTTGCAAGTTGCTAGAAATTACAAACGCCCTGGAAGCCCGTGGCCGTCTCCCGGTGACATGTGCCCTTCTGTTGAGCCTGACAGCAGCGTCCAGCAGCGTCCTCGTGTCAGTCCAGGGCCCACCGGAAGGTCAGTGACCGCGGGACCCACGCTCAGGAGCCGGCGGGCTTGCAGCCGGAGGTCTCTGCCTCTGGCCCATGAGGAAACATCTGGGGTTGCCCGAAAAATAAGAATCCGAGAGTTTTAAAGGGTTTATTTGATTTCTCCACATGATCACAGCTATGGTTTTACATCAACAGAGTCTGTTACTACTCACAAACAGAATGCATATTGAAACAAAAGCACTCCTATCCTCCCCAGAGTTACACCGCGGGTGTCGGGCTTCTTGGGAGTGAGGTGTCCCTTGAAGTCTTTGAACAGTTGCTCAGGACCTGATGCTAATCGCCTGGTCAGACTTGGAGGTGAAGGACGGCTCCTGAGAGGGGCCCGCACACCGACCTTGGCAGGCCCTACTGCGCGCTCCAGGCCCGGCCACTCAGCCCCTCCTGCGTGTCCCTCCCCCCCACACCCACGCCACACGGACTCACGCTGCAACCCGTTTCCTGAAGCTTGTGGTGGTTGTTTAAAATACTAAAAATTACTGGTTTCTCAGGCAGGGAGGGTGATGATATCTTACAACGAAAACTGGAAGATGCATGCTTGCCTGTGGAGACACAGCGTCCCGGGGACCTCTGCGTCCACACCGAGGGTCACTGTTTAAACAGCGCTGTCTCTTCAGCTCGGCTGGAGGGAGAACAGCGGCTTCTGCTGCATGCAGTGCGTGATGGCAGAACCACTCTCCACTGGAGACATTTCTAAGCGAGATGTGCACATCATACCGGGATGGACTTTATTTTTACATTGTTGTACAATTCATTCGTAAACTTAAAAAAAAAAAAAACAGACAAAGACATGTTTTCCCCGGTTGTCCCAGAAAAGATTCTGTGAGGCCATCAGCTGCCTTCTCTAAGGGTCTCCTGCTCCTGTCAGAAATTGCTGTGTAACTGGAGTAATTTGTGCAGCCTGAGGAGAGCATCCCACGTGTGTCCTGGCGACCAGTGGGGGGTGACACAGGTGTCCTGGAGGCGCTCAGCGTCCTGCTCCCCCAGGGGCGGGTCCCCCGGCTGGGAGGCAGGTTGGGATCCGGAGACACAATGGTCCCTGGAAGCAGCGTGGGGGACCGGGGCTGAAGGAAGCCTGTCGCCCAGACGGGTTGGGCCTCGTGACTCCGACTCGCTCAGTCATGTGCTTCTGGAAACACCTCCCGTGACGGGTTTGTGCAGGCCCAGCCTGAGACCCCCTGACCTGCGTCCTGTGCGTGCACCGAGTGGGAGGCTCGCCAGGGGCTGAGTTTGTGCGAGAAGCTGCTGTCCCTAAGGCCCAGCCTGAGCACCCTGCCCGAGCGGCAGGACACGCGGGTGACAGCTCCGGAGGTGCGTTCTAGGCGGCGGGTGGAGGCGAGCGCAGCCGGGGAGAGGGGAGCCCGCCCCGGGGCCAGTGTCTGACTCCTTCCCTCTGCTTTGTTTTTCTCTGGGGGCGCCCCTGGGGGAGGGCCACCTGGTACCGGGCAGCCTGTATCTTTTCTGGAACAACCTAGAGGTTACAGTTAGACCCTACCATGGGTACAGAAGGCTGAAGGAAAGCCGACATATTTAATATGTTATCACTTTACTTCAACTATTTGTCAACAGTAACACTGATATATTTGCGGATATCCAACACACAGAGTGCGGCCTCTCACGACTGGCGCCGGGCACATGCCACGCGGGAGCTATGGCCACAGCAACATCCTTCGAGCTGCAAGGCGGAGGATGCCGGACTCTGGGGGGCACCCGGGGGGTCTCGGCACCCATGGCCCCGGGAGCCTCCCGCCGGCCCGCGCAGCGCGTTTCTTCCTCTTCCTGAGCAGAGGCCCCAGGGGGGAGGACTCCGCCCGGCGGAGGGAGGCGGGCGCCGGGCGCGCACGCGGGAACAGCTGGCCCCCCGGACCGCTGTGCTCGCTCTCGGTGGACTCTGACAGAGCGCTCAGTTTGCAGAGTTGCTGGTATGGCGACCTCAGTGACAAGACAAGGGGCGGTGGGGAGGGGCAAACGGGCAACCGGCCCGGCCGGCCGCCAGGGTGGGCGCCCCTCTGTCCTCCTGCCGTCCGGCAGCTCGCCTCGCCGTCCGCGGAGCGCGCCCCCAGGCCCGCAGTCCTGCGCTAGCTTCGCCCTTTCTGAAAGGGCCCTCGGCCTGGGCAGGCGCCAGGGGGCAGTCCTCGGTCCCGCGGCTAGGAGCAGAGCACTGGCGGCTGCAGTGGCTCGAAAGGCTGAAACTACAAAGCAGGGCCCGTGGGTGACTCGGGCGCAGACCCCGCGCGAGCGGCGCCTGGCCCCGGGGGAGCGGCGGGTGTCACCACAACACGGAAGCGACAAGAGCACAGCTGCGTCATGGGATGCCCTGGCGGCTAACTGGACCGTGAGAAGGCAGGGGCGCGGCCGGGCCGCGGGGACACGGCTGTGCCAGCACAGGCTACATGGAATCACGATGGCCACAGCTACCACTCAGAAAACAAAAACGGCAACACACACACCGCCTGGGCTTCGGACGCCAGCATCGGCCTCTGGGGTCGGGCGGGCAGAAGCCCCTCGGCCGCCCTGCCTGGGGGGCTGGAGACGGGATGAGGACGCATGGTGCTGGGAGACGAGCGTGAGAGCTGGGCGCTGTCATGTTGGAGATGGAGACCTCGCGAGTCGGGCCCCCGCGGGGGTCGGGATGAGTGTGCATTAAACCAGATGCATATAAAAGAAATATGATCATGGAGATTCACAGTTATCGCAGCCGTTAAAGTGTCTAAGAATCTGTGTAGCCAGTGCTCGAGGGCGCCCGGGCGTCCCGAGGCGCTGTGTGGAGTAGCTGCATTATCTATGTTTACCTGAAACAAAGCAGTTCTAACACTGATTACTTGATAGTACTCTGTTAATAAAATAGGATCTATACAAAGCAATATTGGACTTTCAAACAGATGCTATGTTACTTGGCACAGTTAGTAATGCTTTAGCGTAAAGACTTCGGCCGGTCCTCGAGGGACCCTTCTCCTCTTTTTATGAAAATATGGAGTATCTGAACATGTTCCTCGCACTTGAGTTTTTGGTCTATTTTCTCACGCATTCACCTAAGGTACTGTCTTCCTAGCGGGCAAGTGGCGTCCTCGCAATGCCTATATTGCTAGTTCTGCGGGCAGAAACGTTTTTCTTTCACACACAAATGCTACCTATACAGTATATATATATATATATTTATATATTTATATATTTATATTATATAAAGTTTACTTACGTATTTTCATCAACCATAATCAGGTCTACTAATTTTTTGCCCATTGTCAATAAAAGAGCAATAATGCAGCAAGTTTTGGGTTTTGTGTTGTTGTGTCTCTGGTGTGTGTCTCGCTTCTTCTTTTCCTAGGCTGGGTTTTCATATGCGTGTACAGTCAGGGAGCGGAGAGCTGAGGGCTGCGTGGGGTGGGGGCAGGGCGGCATCTGCGTGGCCGGCGGCACCGTGTCAAGGCTGGTGGTGGCCGAGGCCCGCTCGGGGTGCGGGGGGCGACGGTGAGCCCGGGGCGCCAACGCTAACATAAATTGGGAGCTTGTTCCCTACGTCACGGGCCCGGGACCCAGGGGGGCTCCATCAGGCCTTGGGGAGCAGAGGGGAGCGCCAGAAACAGGTGCCCTGGGCCTGTCGGAGGCTGGCGGCCCCGCCGGCCCGTGTGTGCGGTCGTTTCCAGGAGCCCGGGACCCCGCCCAGGCCGTCTACACAATTGTGCTGATGCCACTAGGTTTGGCCTTGCTGCTGGTGGGGGGCGGCGGGGCGGGGGGCTGCCCGTGGTGGTGCGCGGCGTGGCCCAGGTGGCCCGCGTGGCTGATGTGGGCCGCGGGCAGCGGCGGATGGCCGTGAGCGTGGGCCCCGTAGGGGGGGTGCCCTCCGTGGGGGCCGTGGTGGTACTGGTGTGCGTGCTGGATGTGCTGGGGCGGGTGGTAGTGGTGGTGGTGGTGGTAGGGGGGCGGATTCTGCTGCAGGTGGCAGTACGGGGTGTGGTGCCCGGGCACCTGGGCGGGCGACGGGCCCTCTGTGGGCCCCTGGTGGTGGCCGGCCGGGGCATGCTGCGCGTGCGGCGGCGGCTGAGGAGGGGCTGAGGGCAGGTGGGCCTGGGGAGGGGGCTTCCCTCTCTTACTCCCAAATAAGGAGCCCAGGAGGGAGGATGAGTTAGGCATAGTCTGGTGTGGGCGAGATGGACACTCTCGTGTTGATGTAGCTCTCCGGCGCATGTGAGGACTGCTAATGGTGGACCCCTAAAAAGGAAATTCATAGAAATCAAAATTAAAAGACCTTAAAGCACTTACGCCAGAATGATCAAAAAAAAAATGTAAAAAGTTCACCCAACTGACCGCTAAGCCCTAGTTCAACTCGCTGGGCTGGTCGCAGAGGTGGGCAGTGAGGCTGACTCAGGCCCCAGCTCTCGGCTAAGTGGCGGGGCAGCTGGGGCTGAGGGGTGACGGGGGCGGGAGCCCTGCTCTGGCTCCACAGCACCTCTTGCTCCTGCGCTGTCCTGACTCACACCCTGCGCGGCAGCCGCCGGGGCTCCTTTGCGGGTGTCTGTGAGCGGCTCAGGCTGAATGGCGTGGGGCGGGTTGGTGTGCACGGAAAGGAACCCCGCTGCTGCTGAGACTGCACCCTAATCTCTCCTCAACGGGTCTGGGAGCATTAGCTCGGCCTGGGGGGTCCCGAGGTTTCTGGGAAGGCGGTGAGCGGCTTGGGGTGGGGGGGCGGCCCAGGAACCTTGTCCTGGGGGCGGGTGGGAGCCTGCCTGGGCGTGGCACTGCGGCTACCTACTGCAAATCAAACAAGGAAAACGAAGGAAACGGAAAAAGATCGGCAAGCTGAGGTCAACATGTGGACAGTCACAGAGATGGTCGGAGGATGAATGAGTCTCATGAAATCCACACTGATTGTCCTTCTCACGTCCGCCCCCGCGCTAGCTAAGCAATTCCACGGTGCCCTGATGCAGACACACAGCAATCGAAACGCCAGGAGGAAGCGATGGGGATGGCGGAGCATGGAAGTCAAGAGACCGGCAGGACGCCTGACGGCAGGGGCGGAGGGTGCCCGGAGGCCGGTGCCCCCCACCCGGGGCCCTGGGCGCGGGGGTGGAGGGGAGTGCCGGGAAGCCGGGGATGTTAACCATGCTCGGGACCACCGGGGTGGGGGTTAAGCAGGAGCTAAAACACAAGGTCCGGAACCACCCCCACGCTCGGCTCAGACAAGCAGCGAGAGGGAGAGGCGAGAGGCGACTCTAGGCCGGCATGCACTGGGTCTGAGGCAGGCGGGGACAGGACACGCCCGGCCTCTGTGCAACAGGGGAGGGGGAGAGCAAAAAATAAAGGACAACAGGTGTAAACCAAGGATGGGGCGACACAGGACAGCCAGCTGGACGTAGGCGCTTCCTACTTACTTCCACATTGCTCTCTAGCGATCCCGCACTGCTGCGACGCCCTCGCTTCCCTGCCCAGAACATGCAATACCAGAGGTTAGACATGGACACGAGGCCGCCGCCGCCAGGCTCAGGTACCGGGCCCACCTGCGCGGGCCCGGGCTGGGGTGGGGGTGGGGGGCTCGGTGGGGAAGCGGCAGCGGGCGGTAAGGAGTTCCACAAACAATGGGGTAATTGAAAAGCAAAAAATCCCACAGGAAACCCTGTCTGACCAGCTCTAATTTTAGACCCCCTTCTCCCGGAGCAGCAGTCTGCGGGGAGGGGCCTCTGGGGGGCTGCGGCGGAGGCACGGGGCGGGCACCCCGAGGGCCAACGGGGGCCGGGGCGAGGGCGGCTTCTCCCATGGCTACAGACACGCGTGGCCCTGCATCCGACCTGTGGATTTCATAGACGTATGCACCTCTGCGTCCGCACATACGCGTGGAGCTGGCCCTCTCTCGGGCGGGATGGATGGGGAGGGAACGGCACTGGGTCCCGAAATCCAGCAGCAGCTCAGTGCGCCAGAGCCCCTGGGCCAAGAGCCTGGTCTGTGCAGCGCCCCGCCGGGCCGGGAGGCGTGAGCACCCCTGGGGCGCCCCTCCCCTGCGGCCACAAGCAATCCCTCGGGCACGAGTGCTCTGGGCCAGCGCCACTCTCAGGGCCCAGAGGGTGGCACCCAGTGGGCACCCAGGTGGCGACTGTCAGAGGAAAGCTGGGTTCCCCTTGGTTCTGGGCGCCCGAGGCCACCCTGGCCTCCCGGTCCCTCTGGCTACTGCTCCCAGTTCGGCAGGACTCCTGAGGAGCCTGCTCAGGGCGGGAGCTCGGAGGCCAGTGGGAGTGTCGGTGCGCAGTTTCGGGTCCTCCCAGGCATCCAGGAGTCTGGGCCTGTGACCACACAAGAGGGCGTGAGTGGGTGTCCCTCGTGCACGCGGGGGGGGGTGGGGCTCTGACCAGAGGACTGCCGGCCTGACCACTGTTGGGCAGGCTTCAGCCCGTCAGGCCGGCCCTCTGAGCTCCCAGGGCCAGGTGCCTGGGAGGTGCCAGCAGCTGCCTGCTTACGGCCCGCACCTGGCCTAGTGCGGATGGAAGGGCGGATCTGTGGGTCGCCCAGGTGTCTTGGGGACCCTGAATCTGCCGGGGACTGGGCCTTAGTCGTGGTGATGCCATGGCAGCTCAGGGCTCGCTGGTCCTTTCTTTGCTGTCAACCTCCATGCCCGCATTCCAGCTGGAGCCTGAGGTCTGCAGAAGGCCTCACTTGACTGGTGCGAGGGCCTCAGCGTCCACTCAGAACAGTGTCTTCTCCCAGGTGCCAGCCACTGGGGAGGCCACGGGGCCTGCCCTTATCTGTGGCGGAGAGGTGCGCTGGCCTTCCCTTCCTCCTCTGGGCCAGCTCAGCGGCCGGCATGTGGAGCCCGGCCTCCGGGCGGAGGCTCTGCGCGAGGTGACCCACTCGACCTCCTTTTCCGCTCGACCCCACCATGTGCAGCTGGAGGGGGGCACGACAGCCCTGTCCTGGGTGGCTCGGAGCTCCAGACACTCGGGATGCCGAGACCCCAGAGCGAAACATCAGTGCCCGGGGGACCGTGAAGCTCTTTGATGAGCTCTGACCCTCAGTGCCCAGGGGACTCCCACGGGGCGGGAAACCCAGTGCGGAGGGACAGCGGCCCTGCAGTGCCTGGCTGCTTCTCCCAGGGGATGTGGGCCAGGCCTGGCGCTTGGCCCACTGCTTCCGATGGGATCCTGGGAGAGGATGCCTGGGCCGCCACCTCCTCCCGCTGCCCAGCGTGGGCTAAGCCTCAGGAGACCTTCGCCATCCGGCTCGCCGAGTGACACCTCAGAGCAGCGGCAGGTGGGGTGTCCCTGGGGAGCTCGTCACTGTCCACGGCAGACTCGGGGCCGGTGTGTGCTCACGTGCAGCCCCCCAGGGATCAGAGGCCTCTTGCCCGAGCACCCGCCCTCCCCTCACTTGATCCCTCCAGAGGCTGCGGTGAGCACCGCCCCCGCCAGCAGCATTTCTGGAGCCAGAGCAGCCCTGCCGGCCCTGGCCGGGGTCAGGAGCCACAACTGGAAGGGTCCAAAGCTCTTCTGGGGCCTTCCTGCTTCTCAGCCTCAGCAGTGTCCTCAGCAGCTGGGGTGGGCAGGAGCGACTGGCTCTCAAAGCTATCCTGGGGGGAAGTAACCCCCACTGTGCAGCTGGGGAAACGGGGACCAAAGATGTCATGTGGCCGGGCACAGGGCGCTGGCAGCAGGTAGAGGACCTCACTGGCGTGACTCTGAGATCCCTGTGCTGAGAATCCCTCTGCTGAGCTCTGTCTGGGGTGGGCTGGAGGGGGGCATCGCCATCGGGAACGCGGGCCCCGCCCCCAGCAAGCTGGTCCGGGACCAGTTCGTGTGCAAAGCGCCGTCATGGGGCGCCCGGTGAGGCGGGCTTTAGACCCTGGTCGGGACACGGCAGGTCTCAGCAACGCCAGGACCTTACAGGTCAGCACGCAGGCCCTGTGGCTCCCAGGAGCTGTCGTCTCGTGGGGACTGGCTAGGCGGCTCGTCTGGGCGGGGCAGGGCGTCTTGCCGACCTGGGGCAGCAGCTATGGCCCAGTCATCCCTGTGTCTGTGGTCCTGGTGGTCCTTGATGTCGGGGTGGGTGGCCCTGGGTCACTGGGATGTCAGGAGGACCCTAGCTGAAGACGAGGAGACAGCCGGCAAGGCCTCGAGGCTCCGTGGGGAGTTGGGGGGGAAAATTCAGGCCCCTTCTTCTGCCTCTTGGGGTGTCCAGGGACTCGCGGAGGCATCTGCTGCTGGCTTCCTCCTCGGCCGTCCAACTGTGACCGGGCATTTGCTTTCCTGAGGAGGCTGCCCCGAGGCCTAGTCTCTTCTCCACAAGTTCATCTTGGTGAGGGCACAGGGTTGGGCAGGAGGGAGTCTCCGGACAGCTTTGCCCCTGACCTAGCCCAGGGCACAGGGTTCCAGCATTGTCTCTCTCTGGAGGTCTCGGGTGGCCCGTCCCTGGCTGCCAAGGCTCAACGACCCACCTCACCTCGTGCTCCAAACTTCCTGGGTCCAGGAGGCTTTCCTCCCTGGGCGCCTTTTTATCACGGTACAGGGCCTGAGAGGACTCAGTCCCCGGGACCCTGCTGAACCCAGACCTCTCATATGGCAACGGCAATGGCAACAGTCAGTGGCAAGCAGCCAGGCCAGGGAACCTATCTCCGGGGGTAGTGGGCCTGGGCACGGGGCGCTGCTGGACCCTCAGCTCTGGCAGAGGGTGTACTGGGGTCCTGACCAGCGGCACCCAGGGCCACACTGACAGCCTTTGTGCTGCGGAGGGGCTGGTCAGGGTCCCAGGAAGCGCCAGTGGCTTCACTGCACAAACTCAAACAGAGGCCCCGGGGCTGCGGCCTGTGGGGCCGCCCAGTTACGTTAGGGGGCTAATAAGCCACGGGCAGGCCAGAGATCTGCAACCGGGGCCCATCTTGCCCCACCTTGCCTCCCAGGGGCCACCTGGCAGTTTTTGGAGAAGTTACTGAGCACCGTGACTGGGTGAGATGTCACTGGCATCGAGTGGGAAGGGCGGGGCGCTGCTGAACACCCCACGGTGCGCCGCAGCTGAAAGCCCTGGGCTTCCCACGCTGGCAGTGGATTTCTGACTTTCACTATGGAAAATATAATGACGAACAAAACCGAAGGAAAAAAGTCCAACTCAAAAAACAAACAAACAAATAAAGGGAAAAGAAAACAGTTTCTGGGAGATGAGGAAGCCAACGTGCGGTGGTACTATGGCAGGGCAGGTGTGGGTGGTCGTGAGAAGGCTCTCTGGGGCCCACCGCAGCGGGTAGGGCCCGGGGCAGGGTGCCAGGCGGGGGGTGGGGGGTCACCTGGGCCTGACAAGGTCTCCCCACCCAACCAGGGGGTATGCAGGGCCCTGGGCGGGGACACGCGGGGCTTCAGGGCTGGTGGAGCCTGAGGTCACGTGCCTGTGTGTGACGGCCCCTCGAGGCCTCTGCCCACCGCTGCCCCCACACCTGCTGGCGGGAGCGGCTCGCCGGCGAGATTCCCGGGGCAAAGGACCTCCGAGGCGGCCGCCTTGCTCCACGGTGCCTCTGGACATGCCAGCAGGCAAAGCAGCCGCAGCAGCGCCGGCCGGCACCCTGGGCCAGCCCCACTCCCTCCTTCGCCCACCCAGCGGGGAGGCCCAGGCTGGCGGGGGCTACCAGCAGAGGCTTCCTGAGGCTCATGGTGTCCCTACCCTCTCCCCTGGGGAAATTTCGGAGGCCTGAGGGGTGCTGCTTGCTTGAGGGTTAAGAGGCTGGCAGCAGATCAAACGCACACAGAAACAAACAGAAATCACGGTTCGGCCAGGCTTTTCCCCTGGGCAGCCCAGGGCCAGCTGTGACTGTGCCGCTGCCTCTGGGCTGAGCAGAGCAGCACAGCTTCCCCAGGAAAGGAGACCCTCGGGGAAGCAGGCCCGGGACAGCAGGAGAAGCCTCCAGGCAGTGAAGGGCTTCACTCCATGTCACGCGTCAGCACAGAACACGGGGTGCGCAGCAGGGCACAGAGCACATCTGTCAGCAGGGCCTGGCTGGCTCCATGCCAGAGCGGCGGCCAGAAACTCAAAGAATCAACACAACCCCCAGAAGCAGAGAGAGAGAAGAGGGGTGAGCCGCTGGCTGTTCTGTCTTGGACAACCTGGTGCTGTTTCCGCTTGCCTTTCGGGGTGCCCTCTATCTGATCAGCGCTGCTGTGGTTTGGGGTCGGTCGTGGAAACCTGCCAGAGCGTCAGCGCTGGGCCCCTCGGCCGCCACCACGCCGCTTCCCGGCGCACAATGCGGGCCCCGGCTGCCACCGTGCCTGGCCGAGCCCTGCATGCGTCGGGCTGGAAGGTGGTCCCAGGCCCGGCCCTTACCCGCTTCCGAGAGGTCCCGCAGGGAGCTGCTGAGGGCGCTGCGCTTGAGGCCCTCGCCGCTGGCATAGCTGTCGTCCAGGCAGGCCCGGCTCAGGGTCCCGTTGCCTGGCTCCTTCCTGAGGCTGGAGCACTGAGACGTGCTGGGCCGCACGACGCCTTTCTGCTTCTCCAGTTCCGCTGAAAGAGGGGGGCGAGGCCAGTGAGAGGAGGGCAGCCCGAGGGGCCAGGACCCCCGAGAGGGCAACGCAGAGCACTGGGCCCTCCGTTTGGGGTCAGCACTGCAGCGAGCTGCCGTCTTTCTGGAACGGGATGGAAGGCGAGGGTTGACTTGACAAAGAGAAGCGGATGCGACTGGGAGCCGAGAGGAGACCCAGTGGGCACCAGGGCGAGAGCGCCTGGTGGTCTGGGGGAGACTCCGCTCAGACGTGCGGGCTGGGGAAGAGCAAGGGCTAGCCGGCCACGCCCTGCATCTCCGGGAGTGAGGGCTGGAGCGGGGGGCTGGGGTTAGCCTCGGCTTTGAAGAAGCCAGGGGATGGCCTTGGGCGTGACCGCCCCACGCCCCCTCTCGTGGAAGGTCAACAAACAGCCCCGTTGAGGTGCAAAGGCCTCGCCCACAGGCAGGCGGGTCTGGGGTGCTGGCTGCCAGGCCTCTGCCTTCTCCGCCTCCTCAGGGGCTTCCTGTGGCTGGGAGACACCGTCCCCTGGGGGCTCCGGGCCACTGCCCAGACCCGACTTACACTCGATCCTGTGCTTCTCCATCTCCTGCACCTCTGCGATGGACTCCCGCAGGTCGTCCGTGAACTTCTTCCGGTCTTGGGGGTTGGGGGCGTTGAAATTTATTAACACTTTGATGTCGGCTCCGGGGATGGCTGACGTGAGCCGGATGCCGTTGGGGTAGTCTGCAAAGGAGGAGGGGCCTGTGGGTCTCAGCCGCTTCTCTTCCAGTCAAGAAAATACCACTCTTTCTGAACTCAGGTGGGCACGAGACGGCCGAGGTCAGCCCTGCGCAGACGCGTCTGGGGGGAGCAGAGGCCTCGACCGTACAGATGGCGGGACCGCCAGACGCGTCTCGCCCTGGCCTGGGCCCAAGCTGCTCCAGGGTTGGCGGGGGCAGCACCCAGCCACCCGGTCAGTCCTGAGACCAGGCCCAGCTCTGTCCTCTCATGAAGGCTTCCAGACCCGCAGCTCCCTTGGGGTACAGTGTGAGCACCCCAAACCCAATGCACTCTGCCGAGCCCAGCGTCTTTGTGCTCAGAGCTGCTGGGAGTCCAGTCCAGTCCTCGGGGCACAGTGTGCTGGAGCACGAGCCTCTGCAGCGGGGTCACCGGCTGAGCTCCAGCCCCTCTGCTCGGACGAGTCGGGCTGGGATCTCCAACTCTGCAGGCTGGAGTGAGCCTGGCAACGGCTGAGGGGGCAGGGGCAGAGCACAGGGAGGAGGGGCGCAGGGGCACAGCTAGCAACCGTCAAGAGGAAACAGACGATGCTAAATCTTGTTTTTTGGGGGGCGCCAAAAGTATCTAGATGTTAATGTGAAGATCTGAATACCGGGCTCCCTGCAGGCGCAAGGGGCTGAAGCGCCGCACGGCGGCCCTGTCCACAGCAGCTGCAGCACGAGTTCGGCCCCGGCCAGAGGGTGACCCGCAGCCCCAGCAGACCTCTCCTGGCCCTCCTGCCGCTCCCCCAGCAGTGGATTCCAGTAGATCGGCCTGCTCTGCTCCCCACCCCCTGCACCTCTGGTCTGTACCCGAGTTCTTGTGGCATACATAAATAAATCTTAAAAAAAAAGATCTAAATACCAGCTCAACAAGAGTTTGAACACGTGCAAACAGACATAGTGAGATGGGCCTGACTGCAGGCGGCCAGTCTGAGGGCCCGGATGTCACAGCCAGCCCGGCGGGAACGTCAGGGGCTCCTGCCGGCGCCTGTGTCCAGCCCGACAGCCGAGTCCTGGACCCACGGAGGATGCTGTCCTGGTGCGCGGCAGGGAGCGGCAGCCGCCGCCACCCCTTCCCAGGAGCCTGTGCCGGGGGCACCTGCTTCCCCGGGCTGCCTGGCAGAACGAAGGCGGGGCAGGTGTCTGGCACAGGTGGCGCGACGGCGGGCGTCATCCTCGCGGGCACAGGGAGGTGCCAGTCCCAGTCAGGACAGAACCCCGGGGGACCCTCAGGCCCTGTGTGTGTGGCTGGCCTGGCACTTTCTACCTACGGGGGAGGCGGACCGTGGCCAGACGGCAACCTGTCAGGGAGGCGTGGGCACCGCGCGGGCACCGAGTCACCCCGCCCTGGCAGCCTCCCCTGGCCCACTCCAAAGTGTGCAGAGCAGCAGCCCCACCCACTCCCGAACCCCATCCCAGAGGCCCCCACAGGGAGGGAACAGAGAAGAGAGGAAAGAGGTGGTGTGGGGAGTGAGATGAGCAAGGAAGAGCCGGTTTCTCTCGAACACCTGGGCTCCCTGAGCCCACTCACCCCCAAAGAGGCCTGGCAACAGCACGGAACATCCACCCCGGCCCAGGCGCTGCCCCACACCTCCTGGGTAAGCTTCTCTAATCCCAGGGCACAGGCACCGCCATCACCCCACTTTACAAAGGGAGTGCGGCCCCAGGACACTTACACTGGTTCTCGAAGAGCAGGACCTGCATGCCGTACAGGGAGAAGGACTGTCGGAAGCTGTACGTCACCGAGTTCTTCTTCTTCTGGAAGATCTTGGTGACCTGGGGAGGCCAGAGACGGAGGCCGAGTCATGCTGTGTGCGGCCTGGGGGCAGCTCTGGGAGCTCAGGGCTGAGCGGGTCTAGGTGCTCCTGCAGGAGCCCTGTCCGCAGCCCAGCGGTCAGGAGGTCCTGGGGGGAAGGGGCGGACGCCATTCGCCCCAACACGGTGTCCTTCCCAGCTGATGCCATCCTGGCAGGTGGCGAGGTGACAGGTACATCACAGGGCTCCGGCCCCAAGAGGCTGGGAGCAGGCTCCTACGTCTGGGAGCCCATCTGACTCTGGGAGATTTATTCTGTGGCGGGGCTGGGGGAGGGTGAGGGCTGCGGGGGGGGGCTGAGGCTCAGGTCTGAAGTGACTTGCTCGAAGTCAGAGGCTTTGAAAGGACTTGAGCCCACACATCTGGATTCCAGGCTCAATCAGAGAGAAAGCGGGTCTTGGTGCCGCCTTGCGTGCAGACACCAGGGAAGGGGCCTCTGGCGAGAAAGCCCGTGGTGTGGAGCGGGGCCGACAGCAACGGAGAGGCCCACACTGGTTCTCTGCCGACAGCTTTATCCTCGCGAGCTCTCGTCTCTGCCTATTTTCAGCAAGAGCTCCTCAACGTCCCTGAACTGGTCCCTCTTTGCCAGTTCAGCTGATGAGCTCCAGGGGTCGGCCATGCCCTAGGCTTAGCGGTGTCCCTGCCCCTCAACCCTAAGAGGCTCAGGCACAGGCAAGGTGGAGGCCAAGGAGACAGGATTCGCCTTGCGCTCCGGGGCCCACTCTCCCTTCCAGAGCTCCGGCTGCCTGAGAAGGGATCCACGCCGCGAAGGGATCCTGGATGACACAGGTGGAGCCTCTGGGAACGGTGGGGTTGAGCCCGAGGTCCCTCTCTGGCCTCAAAACCAAAGAGCCAGGCTAACCCCAGCCCCGGCCACCATGTCCCCCAGCGCCGCCCCGCACCAGGCCCCAGCACCTCGGGCAGCACGTACCACCAGGAGGTCATTAAACAGGAAGATCTCTCGCTGGTGCAGCCCGAGCTTCTGGGGCTTATTTGGGTCTGGGACCTCGAAGAGCCGGCAGTAGCAGACGAGCCGCCGGTGGGGCAGCGAGAGCACCTGCGGGGGGAGAGCCGGTCAGCCGCTGCCCTGCTCCGGCCAGCCTGCGCCCTGGCCCAGCCGAGGAACTCAGCTCAACAGCGCCTCCTCCGGGCAACCGTGCAGGGCAGGCGCTTCCAGTCTCCTTGTGAGGTGCACGTTCCCTCAGGCAGGCTCCGTGGCCCACAGAGTGAGCGCCCCACGCTCAGGCCCCTCAGGGCCTGCAAGCGCCTGCCGGAGCCTGCGGGGAACCTGGCGCTGAGGCCTGAGCAAGCTGCCGCACGCACAGCCGGGAGCGGCAGCCTCGGAGCTGACCGGCCCAGGCCTCCCGGGCGTTCCCCAGCCAGCACCTGCGCCCGCGTGTCCCCCGGGGCGCCACTCTGCACGGTGCTTCGGACTCCTGCTGCAGTCACCTGACCCCGGCCTGACCCGCCCCGTGCAAAGCCCAGAGGCTGGGGCCCAGCAGGGAGGCCCAGGCACGGCTCTGGGAGCGCCCAGGCTCCCACGGGGGGCCTAGGAGAGAGCCGGACTCGCCCGGGAAGTGCCACCGCGGGCAGGGAGGGAGGGGCCGGCGGGTGCTGAGAGGGGAGAGCCGTTGACGGCTCGCCCAGACGTGGGGCGAGACAGGGGGCGAGACTGGGTGGGCAGGCGGGTCGTGAAGGGGCGCCCGGGGAAGCTGGGCCCGGAGGGCTGTTGAGGGACTTGCCAGTGGGTTCTGGAGGCCGGGCTGCCCGGGAGGGGGTGCGGACTGTGCCAGCACGCACACGTGCACGCCACGGCTCGAAATGTGCTCGAGGCGGAGGGGGGGGGCGGTGCAGTCGGACAGGCGGGACACCCGTGGGTGGGGAGCGGAGGGAGGGATACTCACACAGCCAAGGCCGTGATGGAGGGATCCAATCTGTGAGGGGAACAGGAAACAAGCAGGAGGAGGCATTAGCTTTCCCAAAGGTGCACCTGGCTCAAGGGGGTGCACGGTGACCCTGAGGCGGGGGCTGGGGGGGGGATTGCACCCCTAGGGCATTGCAGCGGGCTGGATTCGAGGGGACCTCAGAGGCCTCCTGAGTCACCAAGGAACCACCGCCCCCCCTGGCTGCCGTTTTACCAAGAGCCAAAGGCTCTCTGCAAACAGCCCGGAGCAAGTGGGGGTTCCCCCAACACTGGGAGTAACTTTAAAAAAGGAAGGCAAAATCCTGAAGTAATTCACCCCAGGGTCCGGGTGCCGAACGGCCTCAGGGGCTCTGGCAGACGCCGCCGCAGCGCCGGGCTGTCACGGGCCAGGGGTGGCGGCTGCACGTGCCTCTGACCTCCCTGCAGGGGCCCTGCGTACCGGCTTCTTCCCCACGATGAGCTTTTCCACCTTCTGCACTTGGGACACGTGGTCCTCATTGGTCTTCAGCTCCCGCTTGCGGATTCGCTCGTAGATTCCAATCAGCATCTCCCGAGGGATGTCCTCGCCGTCGTCCACACCTGGGCGGGGGACAAGGCAGGCATCGGGTTGAGCAGCCTGGCCGCTGTGGCCCCATCTAGCACCTCCTCCCTCCCCGATGGCCCAGCGTCTGTGTCAGACCGGAGTGACGGGGCCCCTCGTCAGTTCCAATGGGTCCGAAGGCCTGTCCCCTGGGCTCTTGAACACCTGCGGTCAGCCTCCGTGCAGACCAGGGCCTGGGCCACGCGGCCGCCAGGACACAGGGGCCAGGCAGCACCACCTGCGCTCAGAGGGCTGTAGAACATTCTATCCTTGAGAGACCGTGACCCCGGGGGTGGACATGACTGTCCCATTTCACAGATGGGAGAGCTGAGGCCTGGGCCCCATGTAACTGGGGCTGTGAGTTCAGGCTCTGACGAGCCTGCATCCAAGTTTTTGCTTTGCCTCTTCCTACTCAAGGGACTCAGTTTCCGCGAGCTGGGGCCCTCCTCTGTGAAGTGGCCGCCAGGAGCATGGTGGCCACACGCCTGCTGAGGACAGGGCACGGCTCGAGGCATCCGGCGCCCGAGGCGGCTCACAGAGCCTGGCCCAGCGCACATGGGCAGAGCAGGCCTGAGGCCCGAGCTCGGCGACTCTGACAACAAGCACGTACCCTCGTGCAACACTCCGCACCCCGAAACCCGCCCTGCTCAGGGCACAAGTGCAAGCCCACGCCCACGGCTGGAGGAGTCCTGTGGCCTGTGACGTGCTGTTGGAGGACTGTGGGGAAAAGGCGCCCCCACACCCACCCTGGGGAAGGGGGTACTGAGCCCTGCCGCGGGCGCCTGCCACGGCCTGCACCCGGAGCCCCTGAGGTGCGCTGACCACCGCAGGGCGTGGCCCCGGAGCAGCTGCACAGGCGGGCACCGTCGCCACGCTATTTCCACACGGCACAGAACTGAGCTCGTCCCTGCACTCCTCAGGGAGCCGGCCAGCCAGCCCGGGAGCGGCCGGACGGGCCGGGGCCG